GTAACAGACGAGACCTTTTACTGACGTGGTCCATACAAACTTTTATCACCAACCGTAAATAATTATAATTAATAAAAAAGGAGTTATTATAACATCACATTTTAGTACGACAAAGTAAACAAACAGAAAAATACCAGCGATTACAAAACATGGTTAGGTTGATAAATATTAGCAGCAGATAAAGTATTTGATTTTTACAGTGAGATAAAGTATTTGTTTACTTCCGCAAATCGCTATGGTAATGTATGATTTTATTAACGGTTGAGGATAAAATAATATTATTTTATCTATGGTTATCATCCTGTTAAAACAAAAATTGCAATTTTGAATCTCTTGGTACGATTTATCTTTAGGATAACCATGTTCTAACTGTCAGATAGTAAACAGCAACTATTTTCGCCTATTAACATTTAAAAACGGAATAACAGGAATAACTACAGTATAAAGTGACAGTTGTCATTGTCAAAAATAAAAACAATGGATGTAATTTTTGAAATTGATATTTTTGAATCGGATTCTGACGATGATATAGAGGATATAGAAGATTTTTCAAAATATAATCGTTAGAAAACCTAGAATTGTAAGTTAAAATTGTGTTGATAACGCGTGACATGAGGTTAAAATGTATCCTGCCGATTATTAACATTAACTTTACCAGGAGATTAATAATTCAGCCCTTAACCACTTTTTTGACTTTAACGCGTATTTCAAGGTTACATTTTTTTGCATATCAACCCGTTTACCGACACAAAAATATTTTTACAATATCATCTTAGATTCAGAAAAAGGGTTTAAACTATACACCAAACGACAGAAAAAGCTTTCAAGGGGATTTTTTTAGTTGTTATTGACGAAGTATATATTGAATTGCCAGTACGAAACAATTCATCGATAAGCAACTTTGCATTAAATTTCACAGGTCACATGACCGCTGCCACCATCGTAAATGATGGTCACCCCTATAATTTCTATATTTTCCTTACTTATTACTGGACAGAAAGGAGAAACCGTTGGTTATTAGCCTACTAACAGGAGAATTGGGAGAAAATTATCAGAAGGAAAAATGTTCAATGAAACAAAAAAAAAATGAAATTTGGGCACAATCCGCAAACAAACAAAAAATGCAAAGAAAACATTGAGACGTGTTTCTGACTAGTGGTCCTAATCAGTATACGGTGTATCAAAGTTCAAAAGAGCTTAAAACTTACATTGAGTGGTTTACACGTGAGTGAACGAAATTATTTTTTTTTTAATTGTCTCTGACTACCAATATTTTTCATTTAAACGTTTTTCTGAAAGTAAACAAATTTTGTCAAAATTCATAAAATTGAATAAGTTTTTTAAACATTAATCCTTATATATTGTTCAGATTTGAACATTTTTCTTTATATTCACATACTAAATTAACATCCTGTATATGGAATAAATTCTATTTAATTAAAATATTTATTTGCATATGCAGGTACTATAAACTATTCCAATTTTATTTCAAGTTCAATGTATATCGAAATAACAAAAATGCTGAATTGTTATTTTAAAATCATTTCAAAACATTGAACTGGGATCGAAATTCGAATAATAATATTTTTCTAACATACATTTAAATAATTAAATATTAATTGTTATTGCATATTGTTTATTCTGTGATATTATAAATGTAGATACAAATAAGAAATAAAGAAATTGACTTACAATATGTGGTAGTACCTATACTTTACAAAATTATCTCTGAAATGAGATTCATGAAAACCAGCTTTTGGTATTAATTATAAAATTCATCTTTAAATATTATTCATATACATTTTTGAATAGTAGAAGAGTGTATCTTTCAGATGACCAAAACATATACAGGGTGTTCCATTTGATAAAATTTGGTTACGGTGAATTTAAAAGAGGAGGTTTTTAAAAAACATCCTGTATAGGTAATACATAATTTCTGTGTTACTGAAGCAAAACTTATAGCAAAATACCACATATCAGCAAAAACCGCACGTTTCTACGATTAGGTGTTTAAAAGTTATAAGCTCTGGAAATGGGCTACTTTTCATTGGGACACCCTGTATTAAACAATAATCCAATTAATAACTAAATGAACATCTGAAAAAATAATTGATGGTTAAGTATTAAATATAAATATTTTAATATTCCTAAATGTTTGTTGTGTTTTCCCAAATCAAATATAAAAAGATAATTTCAATCAATTCATTTATTAAAAGCAAAATATAATGAGTCAAAATGGCATTTAGCTAGACAATCATGCCTCTTGTGTATTCATATCATGCAGAATACTCAAATTGTAATTCTAAATTTTGTTTGAATTTTATCGAACCCTTGTTGCCAATAGTTACCGAGGTTGAGTCGCATGATGATGGCATGCGACCAAAATTATAACTTTGCGGCACTTCGAGGTGATCGCACGTTGGTTTTCGGTTTTCGTCTATAAAAAGTTACGTAAAATTACCGTGAGATCCAGTGATAATATGTGCAATGATTTTAGACTTTTAAATGTGTTAAAGTAATTGTGAAAAAAACAAGTAAGTGTCAAAAATGTTTATTTCACATGTTCCCAAAAACAAATGGTCAACATCTTAGTTAATGTGTTGGTCTTTATTGTTTCGCAATTTGCAAGAAGTTACAATCATCAAATAACTACTTCAACTATGTTCAGTTATTTAAACTAAAAAAAAAAAGAATATGAATATAAATATTTCTGAATTGTTTATTAAAAAAAAACTATTTTGTATGGTCCTATATCGTATTTTAAAGTTTTTCCAATAAATCTTTGATTTAAAATTTTATTTACATCAAAGTATGTTTTTTATGTAATACATTTTTGGTTTCATTACGATTGATAAAATTAATTCAGAAATGTTTACTTTAATATCTTTGCTCTGTATTGTCCATGAGCTGGCCACATGTTGATGAAAGCTATTTTTATTTGAAATATTTACATCTATAGCTATAAAGTGTCTATAGCTATAACGACTAAAAAATATTTATTTAATAGAGGCAGAGCTTACTTTTCTGAATCAACCAGTATACTATTAATTTATGTAACCCCATTGTTAATTATTAGGCATCAAGGATAGAATTCAAGTAAAACAAAATTTCTTTTATTCTGACCCTGATCTAAATAAATATATTAGCAATTAAAATATGATAAATATCAAGTTCTTACTGACCTTAATGGTTTTATTATCTTCTTAAATCGGAAGGGTGTGTAATTGAAGATTATTTTATAATACTTTTGTGGCCAAACAAAAACGAACGTACCTACTTTTAAAATATTTACAACTATTTTAACTTCACTTAAAAACTACTTGAACACGTATTTTTTTATATTTCCTATCCTGCCACTTCAATTGCTAAAAGCGCTAAATTTCCCACTAAATGATCTGAAAGGTGGCAAAAACCAGGTACTACATGTATGACTTATTATTCTCACATAACCACCATCCATATTTATGAGTAAATTTAACACATCTACAGATTACAGTAAGAATTGGAATCGAGAATGTCTATTTCTTGCTGATGAGTCCTAATAAAGACGAAACCGGTTCAGGAATGACTTTCTCCTTAGTACGCAAAATCAAAGTTGCAGTGTTTAAAATATTTTTCTATTTCTACTGTATTTCTCTGATTATAATTAAATGTCTGTTATCCAAAGAAGTAGTTGTTTTCCAAAGGGAAACGGTTGCTCGTATTATTTTGTGACGGCTTCGAGAATTTATTTTTCTTGATTTCATTTTATGGTCATTTAAACCATTATTTGAATTATTAATATTTTGTAAGAACTGATGATGGCGTATATGCTGAAACCGGTTGCCTAATTTTATATTATTCAATAAAATATTGTTGTACGGATTTTGTGTTTCCTTTCTTACAAGATGACCACATTAAAATTAGATAGCAGATGGTACAGACAAGTTGATGTAATAATAATTATTCAAAATTACCATGATCAAGTGCCTTCAGCAAGAATTAAAATAGATATAGTTAGGGAATTGTATTGGAAAGGAACGAAGAAATTAATAATAAATGTTAGTTACAAGAGGCAACAGCTATAACTAGAAAGTAATCCAGCAATTAAAGCGACTCAGAAAGTGGTTTTTGGAATCTGGATCAATAATGTTTGGAGGGACAATAGATTGTAAGCAAGTCAACAGTAATGTTTGTTTGTATAAAAGTAATAACTAATAATACTATAAGACATGATACTCTCTATAGTGAGTTTACAAACCAACATTCTGTGTCGAAGAAGACAGCATGTCACACTAAGAGCGCCTGTGCGTGATTTTAGCGATGTTGCCAATTGCTTTTTGTTATTTGTTCTAAATAAATATATTTATGGTAATACCGTTCATACCGTTCTATATTATTTTTTGTTTATGAATAATATGACAACTGATATTTTTATTTCTATAAATGTGGTGTTGTCAAACATACTAAAAGAACGTACATAACAGGAATGACAGTGGCTGTTTTTTCAATAGCTCCAGGCCAGATGATAAAACCAGAATATAAATGTGTTTATTTGAGACTTTTCATTTCAATTATTCAATTTGAGCTGTGTCCAGGCCGTTGGAGTCTATGCCGGTCGGCGTAGCCAGGTATGGGTTGATGTTTTTTGGTGGCGTCGAAGCCTACACCCTACGAGAAGTCGTTGCTTCGTTTTCTTGTTGCATATTTATGGACCGGTATGCGCAATCACAATTTTCCATTAACTACTAATTTTATCACAATCCGACAACGTTGCAATTATATATTACAAATTTGACAGAAACCATCGAGTTTCGATGTTTACAGTCGTCAAAATGCTGATTTTTATAAAAACTAAATAATTTTTTTTGGCTTAAATAATGCATTTACAGCAATTTTTTTTTAAATGTAATATTTAAAATACGCTCTTTCTGATAAAAAAATAAACTTCTTTAAAATTCCACTGTCCCTAAAGTCGCCGGTACCCATGAATGTACTATAGTCTAAATCTCCGTCTAAATATCTAAGGACCGATTTCACCGTTGTGTTAAACGAAGTTTAAAATGACATTTTTACATTAACAATGTCATTTTAATATCCGTTTAACACAACGGTGGAATCGGTCCTAACCTAATTAATAATAATAATGATGATCCAAAGCGGACAAGAAATGTTTTTGCAACGTGGCAAATCTACTTCCTTTTAACAGCTCGCCAACCAACATATTGTTATAAAGTATGTTTGGAAAAACTAAACTACATAGATTTGTAATAAAAAATAATATATAATTTTTGTTATTTTCAGTAATGATTCCCCTACAAGCATCTTTCAGAAGAATTTACTACAGGTTGACAATTCCTACAAAGTGAAGAATTAATCATGTGCTGAATTACGTATCGAATATGTCCGATAAAAGGACACCAGAAACACCATCGAGCTCTGGGAGTGATACTTCAAAACCGGGATGTAAAACTGAAGAGCGGTTGATGGTGGCAGTAAGAATCAGACCATTGAAGTCCGATGAATCATCTAAAGTTTTATATGCTTTAAACAAAAAGGTATGACATTTACAATAGCTATTTGTGTATTAAGAGCGAAAAGTTATACTTTCCCGCTTGAGATAGAAAGTTGTCCGCGCGAAGCATAACGGAGCGCGGCAATCTGTCGAAAGCGGCATCGAACTTTTTGCTCAAAATAAACAAGATTTTTTCTACGACCCCACTTTTTTAAGGCAAAGATATAAACTGAAAATTTATCGTAAGTAGTGTATAATATGTTGCCTATACCTACATTAATCATGAAAAAAGTAACTGATATTCAAAGTCTACGTTAACTTGGATGTTTTAACAAAAAAACATGTAACTACGTACAAATGACTTGAAAATCATTTATTAAAAAGAAATACTATTGTATTGTGTCTAATTTAAATTAGGCGAGCAACAAAGCTGTCAAGTTTTCCGCCCGGCGAGCAACAAAACTGTCACTTAATGTACTCGTAAGTTCACGGAAAACGTCAACTTTGGGGTGTATTTCGAAGCGTCAAAGCCTACTTTGGATAGTGATTGTAGAAAAATAATATTTCTGGCATTTTATATTATTTAATTAGTCGGTCTATATCGTAAGATGCAAACAAGACAGTATTAAACATTTGGTTCCATAATTTGAAGGCTTGTTTTTTGGTGTTGTGTATTTTAGAGTAGTGAAAACAAAGTGTTTACAGTTAGGGAAGCGCATCTTTAACCGTGCCTTATACCTAATAATATGCATATGAAATAAATCAATAAATTTTAGTCAAAGTATTGGAGAATCCGATTACAATGAGCGAACACCGCTACATCCATTGAGATAGAATAAAAAGGAGATGCTATGACGCTGTTGGTGCAGTGTCCACCAGTGTAAATTACACCAGACTGCTAAAAAATTGTTTGGATCAACTTGATGTAGACAACAAGACATCAGCAAATCTCATAGCTGGATTCCGTGGAAGTGGAATTTATCCAATCAACAGAAACAAAGTACTAGATAAGTTGCCACCGAGCTTAGAACAGCCAAATGATGAAAACAATTTTGTAGTGTCAATAGATAATGCTTTTCAAGTCTTTTTAAGCAATCTATATACGAAGGAAACAGTAACCGGTACGAGGAAAAGAAAAAAAATTCTAATCGAGCCTGGAAAGAGTGTTGAAAATACTACTCTAGAGAGTGTTGAAAATACTACTCTAGAAGAAGTAGAACAGACGGTAAATGAAAATGGAGTCCATGGAAACCAGGAAGAAATTGAAGAAGAGCTACCTGATTTTACTCAATTTAATAACCCGACACCGTCAACATCAAAAGCAAAACCTATTATTTCTCGAAAAAATAAAAAAAGCGTAGATTCCTCCAGTGACAGTAATGATTCCTTTTCCACGCAATCGTCATATGATAGCCCTGAAGATTTTGAAGAAGACGTGGATATGGTTGATCCTTCGGATATAAAAGTTGATGACTTTATTTTGGTGCAATTTTCATATGAGGCTCCCCATAAGCCAGCTATTTTGAAGAAATTCATTGGACAAATTATTGAACTAAAGCCGGATTTAGTTTTGTGTAAATTTATGCGCAAATCACCACAAGGAAAAAATATTTACGTATTTCCAGATATTGAGGACGTCACAGATATTAATAAAAATCAAATTCTGTCAAAGCTGGTTCCTGTGTTTGTTCGACGAGGAAGATTTACTTTTTCTATTGAACTTTAAAAACCTGGCACAATTGTTTAAAACATTTTGTTTTTTCGTTAAAATGAGTTTTTTATTTGTTTTTTAAGAGTTATGTTTTATTTAGATTAGTTTCTACCAAAGTTTTTCAAGTTCCTACTTATTTTTTAAGAATTAAAACTTTAGTTTTGTATTAAAAATGTAAAATGTTTAAAATAATTATATTTTTCCAAATAAGAGTTGTGTTTATGAAATAATATGTTCTATTACGTTTTTAAAGACTATTAATGTCTCAAGTCCGCAAATTGACGGTCCGTCTTGAGTTTATAATGAAAACAAATTACTGTCTCAAGTCACCGCCCCTGTGAAGCTGACTTGAGACACCCAAAAAAACAAAAAAAAAATATTTTCTGATAAATTTTAGGTCATTTTTATTATTGAATTTTGAAGAATGTATGTAGACTCAAAAATGTGTCCTTGTTTCATAATTTTAATTTGCTGGAATACAATTTTACAGTCCTTTGAATTTTGAAACTGTCTCAAGTCACCCAACTTGACGGTACTTAGGTATATTATATTATGTCTATAATTATTTATGATTTAATTATATACAGAAAATACTGTTGGATGATTTAAAATATTAGGAAGTCAATTAAAATATTTATTTAGGCTATAGTCTGTGATAAAATAACTACTAGCTCTATTTTATCTATAAATAAAATTAGGCGTGCGCCAAAGTTACTTTCCGCTTAAGAACGCCAAAATAATGTCAAATAACAGCTTGTACACGTGACTAAATTGATGTCATCAGTTGGCTAAAATTAACAATAATAGCTTCAGTAGTAACCCTAAAACAATGTGACTGACCTATTTGACAGAACTGATTCTAAGAAAGCCGTTTTTATAAAATATCTTTTTACTAGATCAAGTGGGATACGGGTATTCTTGAAGACTCGTTACCTACTTATAATATATTTTCTTTAAAAATTTCAGTTTTTACTGATTACTTAGTAATAATGATAATTATGAAGCCTAGTCTCTACTGAACAAAAAAAATATAGAATGAATGTCAATGCTTATCACGCTTGCAAAGTGCATGTTTGTAACATATCATTTAAATATTTATTATTCATAATTTACAATAAATTGATCATTAAACATGATAACAATACTTACTACGTTTAATCTAAATACATTAGTTTGATCAATAGTTTCTACGGTAAATTTTTATTATTACCTACAGTAATTTCAGATTAAACAAACAATAACAAAATTGTTTGGTCGATTGGTTTTCTTCAAAAGTTAAGTGACTGATAAATTACTGAGCAATTTGAATGATTTGAAACGATTATTTTGTTCTCCGTAATATTTTGAAAGCAATTCTCTTGGTATGACATTATTCATTGTAGACTAAGCTTTGGAATTATTGTTTCTAATAATGTTTAGAATAGTCCAAAATTACATCAGAATATTACAATAACTTATTTCGCTTTGACACGATTATTTCACAAAGTTTGAACCAACACGATAGAATGAAAATTTTAAAGAATTATAATGCAATCTAAACAACTAAAGTTATATTCTATTTTTCTATCCCTACAATCATCACGAACTTGAATAAGGGATAATAGGCAGAAATGTATGGGAAATTGCCCCACCCTCCATAAGGATAAGTTATATACCAATTGAAAGATTTTTTTAAGGAGGACATTTCATTGCGACTCAACTCAATTACTTGTCGTCCGTTATAACATCCTAAGGTACCATTTGGGTAGGCGCGTCAGGAGACAAGCGACCACTGCAACGATCCCAAGGTCGAGTAGAACGACAGATGCATAAATGTTACGCTTCGTACATTTCGCAAGCTTGAGAAGTGTCGCGCGACATTTACAGGGATAACCATTCGAGGGAACAATCAGCGTTGCCAGACCTACTGTTTTCACGTAGATCTACTGTTTTTGTCTCTAGCAAATTTTGTTCTTAATTTATTAAGTTTGCCTCATTCTTCAGCAAATGGTTAAAGAATATTTTCTCTAGTAAATTTTTTGCAGTAAAAGCAGCGTAATAAGCATCCACTACTCTAGGTTGGATCCATAAAAAAAACATCAAGATAATCATTGTTTTTATTTAAAATGAAACAAAGAATTAATAGGGCATCATAAAAAGAACATGCACACTACGATTTTGAATTAACTGATTCAGACTGATCTAAAAGAAGTAGGTACCAGTTATATATTGAGAATATAATAGACTCTTTTATATATTATCTTTGATTAATAATCAGTTTTACTTTATAAATAGAAGTAGAATCTTATTGTTATTTGTTGTTTGTCTCTAGCTATTCGTTATTTGAACTTGTTCGTTAGTTATTCGAAGTAGCTTTAGTTCAGATATCCATTTAAGTGTATTTTATACTTATTAAAAATTTTAAAAATAAAAGTTCCATTTTGGAATTTATAACTGGCGCAGTCAGTAGGATACACGCGAGTCGTGAAAAAGTTTAATCGAGTTCGCTGTTGCCGGGCCGAATATTAACTTTTCGTGACTTTGGAATTTTAATTCCTCAAGTGTGGTTCCTAACGAAGAATTGGTGGAAGCAATCCCTTTTGTGGTGACAGTCAACTTTCCACGTAGAAGAATCGTCGTTTGGACAGAATCGTCGATAGGACATCAGCCCATGGTGGGACATCCGAAACGACAATTAGAAAGCAATTGAAGAAAATAGTAAGTGCCAAATATCCTTTAATTTCCCTTTCCTTTAATTTATAGGTATTAAAAAGATTATATTATTATATAATTTTGAAACTATTTTATATTTTATTTTGATTATATTTTATGAGTGAATCAGAAATTGATACTTTATTTGAGCAATTTGCAAATATATCGTTACAAGATAATAAATCAGATACTGTAGGAAGTAATTTAATCATGACACCTCCAGTAGTTGAACGTAGACAAGTGAATTGGGACCTTTTTAAGTCCAAAATAGATAACATAAAAACTTTTGATGGTGATAGTAATTCACTAAATAAATTTATAAATAGATGTGAAAGTTTAATTGAAACTTATAGAACATATAATGACCCAGAATTGGATGCACACATAATAGAATGTATCCAAGAAAAATTAGTAGGAAAAGCTGAGATAATGGTAGGAAATAGAATTGAAATTAATACTTGGATAGGTTTAAAAAATGCTTTGTTACAATGTTTCTCTGATCGTAGAGATTTAGGTTGCTTAGTGCAAGAATTAACGCGTAGTATACCCCTAAAAGGTGAACATTTAATAAATTTTGCGAGTAGATTACAGTTGTTAAGAAGTAGTGTTATTCAGCGGATAAGTAATGATCCAAATTTAAC